TTTTGTTAATGTATTTTTTGTGTTTATCATTTATTTTTGTTTTTATTATCTCTTTTTTCTCGTTGTTATTATCGATTGTTCTTTTTATCTTCATCTCTTTTTCTTGTTATTTGCTGGTAGTGGTGAATGTGTGTGCCACAGTCTCTGCATATAATTTCGTGGTATGGACGTGGTGGCATGAAATGATATCTCTCTCCTGCTGTTATTATTATTTCTTATTGTTATTTATTTCTCTTGTTATTTGCTAGTTGAAGCGAGTGGTATGGATGCAATGTTATTATACATCTCTTCCTTTATCTTGTTCTATTCGTTGATTGTTTGCTTGTTATCATCATTTATTTGTTTGATGTCATGTATTTTTCTTGTTATTTGCTGGTCGGAGCGAATATGTGTGCCCGGTATCTGTATGTTTTCATGGTATAAACGTGACGGTATTATATGATATCCCTCTCTGTTTTGTTTACCTGATCTATCTATTTGCATTTTACGTGTGTATCTTACAACATTCCATTACTGTTTGTGTGTATGTATATGTCTGTACGTGCATGTTTATGCAGGTTATAGATATATAAGTATATCTGATTTATCTCTATGTTTCTAGGAATAGGCGTAAAGAATAACCAAGTTTGTATACAGTTACATGTAGTCTGTATCTATGCATGTATATGTGTGTGAACCAAACAAAAGACAGGCAGTCACATCGAAAACCAGAGTGAAAAGCAGAGTGTGTGAGTGTGTATGCGGTATGCGTCTGTATGTATGCGCAGGTGTATGTAATGACAGGGTATTTATGTGTCGACTGTAATGGCAGGGTACGTGAATGTGGCGACGATGATGGCAGAGTTGGAAGAAGTATGAGAGAACACCGACAGTTGTTTAATAATGTGTAAGTGACGTAATATGGCATACGTTCCGGCGTGGGCAGGCAAGTGAAGTAAAACTTTCTGATATGACAAGAAAAGGGGTGCGTGGGACTGGTAGAACGACAGAGAGATTGTGGTAGGAAGAGGGAGACAGAATGAAAGATTGAGGGAGATAAGGGAGAGAGAGAACATAAGAGGAAATAGCAGTAAAAAGAGGACGAAAGAAAGAAAGAAAGAGAGGAAAGAGAGAGCAAAAATACTGAATATGATGATAATTATTCTTACAAGATGAAATCCAAAATTCAGAAAAAATGTCAATAACAAACATGAAATGATAACTGTAGTAGCAATACTGTGATGACAATCATTGAAAGAAAATATACTAAATTTAGAAAATAGTAATGACAGCCATGGGAAATAAAAGCAAAGGAAATAGTGATACAACTACGGAAAGTGATCAATAACCATAATCATCATCAATGATAATGATATTGATAATAAAACAGCTACAGGAAATAACTAAATGATAATGATGAATTAGATCAACAATACCAGATATACTTTACAAAGAATACAAATATCTATCCTAAAAAAAAAAAAAAAAAAAAAAAAACACGGAGAGATCGATCACCTTCTGTCTCCCTTGACTGAGACCTTTAAGCGGATTAACATAAAGAAACAGGCAACAAGCAAAGCCGGAGGAAAGGATAGAATAAGCACTCGGAGAATCTCTCATAAAAAGAGAAAAAAAAAACTAAATAATTGTGATGGTAATGAAAATAATAGTGGTAATAATAATGATAGTGATGATAATAAAAAGGATGATGATGATAATAATAATAATAAAAACAATGATAATGATAATAATAATCTAATGATGATTATGATGATAAAAATATAAATAATAACAATAACAATAATACTAATAATGATAATAATAATGATGATAATGATAGTAAAAAAATATATTATTTTTATTATTATTATTATTATATTTGTTATTATTATTATTATTATTATTATTATTATTACTATTATTATTATCATCATCATTATAATTATCATAATTATTACTATTATCATTGTTATTATTACTATTATTATTATTATCATTATTATTATTATCATTATCATTATCATTGTTATTATTATTATTATTATCATCATTATTATTACCATTATTATTATCATTACTCTAATAATAATAGTAATAACAGTAATAGTAATAATAATATTGATAATAATAATAATAATAATAATAATGATAATAATGATGATGATGATGATGATGATGATGATGATGATGATGATGATGATGATGATGATGATGATGATGATGATGATGATGATGATGATGATAATAATAATAATAATAACAATAATAATAACAATAATAATAATAATGATAATAATAATAATAATAGTAATAATAATAATAAAGATGGTAAGAATAGTAACAATAACAATGGTAATATCTATGACAATGATAATAATAATGAAAATAATAATGATAATAATGATGATACTAACAATGAGGAAAATGATAAAAATAATGAAAAAAACAATATTGATAAGAGTAACAGCAACAAAAATGAATGATAATAAGGTTAGTAAGGCTGAAATATTTTCGTCTCCTC